TCATAACGTGCTCAAGAATATCTGGGGATGAAATGCGTACCAACAAGCATGAGCTCTGGGCTTAGACGCGACCTAACACAAGGATATGTGTGCAAGCCCGGCTTACCTGGAACACCACTCTGGACTTCTCTAAAAGGTAAGTTCTCATATTGGCACCAATGATTCGATACCTCTTGTCAAAACCAATCTCGATATACTTTCCAAAACGACTGCTATTATCATTCCTGGTTGTTTTAGCATTTCCGATTGACTAAGAAACAAGAGGGGAAAAAATAAGATTTTAGAAGTGCATTTCACACCATGACATTTACAGAGTTTGTTCAGGGAGAGAAAGAAGAAAGTAGAACACAGCCCTCTAAACCTGATTCTTTTAAGAACAGAACCACTTTTGCCCCTGCAGGCACAGCCACCCAGGTATATACTAATAGTCTGCATCTGCCTTGTTATTCTCACAGGAATTATTTTCAGAAACAGCAGACCTGAGTCCAGAGGTTGGGAGGTCCTCACCCACCATGTGTGGTGATGGAAAGCACTCACCCATCTCAGCAAAGGAAGAGAATGGGTGTTCCTGGGTGGTGCTTAGGCACAAGCGCTGAGTTAAATTATTAGAGTTTTGGTTTATTGAAAAGCTTAGTCTGTTTCATGTAAATAAACTGGTTAAGACAAATGAGTATTTTCCTGGAAATGCTCTGGTGTTCAGGGTCTCTTTAGCCAAAAGTTTCCATCATCTTATTCCATGACAACAAAGACCTAGTGAGTGGACTGATCATTAGCAGAGTGTTAGTAATTATCCACTCAATTCAAAGCCATTTTCAGAAATCAGACACAGTAAAATCTGGCTTTGGATTTTGATAGTTGTATCTAACTTGCAAGACATCTGCTACAGAAAACAGAGAATGTAACTTTTTGCTAAATTTCTTAATATAATCTTAAAAAATTTAAGTGGCATATGCACTGCTTTCTGATTTAGGTAACATGCTTTTATAAATTTTTCTTTCAAGGCAAAGCAAAAAACATGCTGTAGCTAGAAAAGCAAGTGCTCACATAGTGCACACATTAAATGTAATTTAATTTCATATAAGATTAGTATCTTTCACTGTGCAAAGCCTGTGACTATCAGGATTAGAATACTGAAACCACAGGAGAGAGAAAGATATGAAAAAGCTCTGGAGTGTCAAAAATGCAACACAAAACAGGTGATGAAACAGTAGTAACAAAACCACAAAAGTCAACACATTAGGTTCTCTGATTAATAAAAGAAAACATATTTTCACTCTCTGCAGTACAAGGCAGGTAATGTCCTATTTCGTTTTGGCAGTGAGAACACTGCTAAATTTCAGATTAACAGTGTGGATGGAAAAAATGGCTGGAAGCTATCTTCCCAGCCAAATAACAGAGGGATTTAATGCAGCCCTGGATAATTTAACAATACATTTACTCAGATATCCTCCCTCTTAATATCACAAAAAGCACAACAAAAAGTCTCCATATAGTCCCATTATTTTTATTCTGTTCAGAAAATGAAATTAGTGATACATGCAAAATTTTCTTTCAGCAAAATCTGTCATGTCAAAGAGCAGATGAAGGGTCACATGTAGCAGCAGCGACAGCAGGAAGCTACCGAGTGCTCACCAGGCCCTGTCCTGAGCAAGCTGGGGAGGGTGGTGCACAGCTTCTCCTCCCTCCCTGACTCAACCAACTTCCACATGTCACCCCCCACCATCGACTCAGAGTGGAGGTCAGAGCAGTCAACCTGCCGAAACAATACCACGCCTTGTGAGAAGCAGCAGTGGGTAGGCCAGGGTTGAAACAGACCCCTTTGTCTTTGAGTATAAAGTATATAAACACAGAGCACAGAATGGCAGAAAGAGTAAATGAAGCAGAAGTCTGAAGATCTGGGTGTCGAGCCAGGCCCTACCACCACCTTGTTGTCATTTAACCCTCTGAGAAGTGTTAGCGTCCCCAAGTGTAAACGGACTAGAACAGATGAGCTCTGGGGTCCTTTTCCAAAATAAGACTATGATTCTAAGCCTCTAACCTGGTATGGGAAGAAGGTTATGTGTATGAACAGTCCCTTTTGCCCGTTCCCTCTAATTGCGGCCTCTGCCTCGTAAGTACTAGATTTACAAGAGCCTCCCCATTGCTGTTTTCACCCCAATTAGCAAGAAATTGCTTAAGGAAAGCAGTTTTGTGTCTTGATTTTACTACTGATTTCAATGAATT